CTGCTTTGAAATCAAGATAAGTAATTCTCCATGTTACCCTAGTCGTTTCTTTCTTTTCCTCAATAATCCATTAGATGGCCTGTCTTGCAGTAAAAAAATCTTAGACATAAAAAAATCATAAAGGTATTTATTAAATCGATTCATTCATATCACAAATTAGTCGTTATATATAATAGTTGTGTTAAAGTGGCGGAACACAAAATTATCAAAAATATCGTAAATTATACCTGATGATATATTCTCGCTCAGTAGTTTTCACAACTCACAAAAAACATACCGATATTTTTTTAGTTAAAACTTTCAGATAAATCCACGGGCACTTACAATCTACAGATTTTGGTTTAAAATTTTCCGACCTACGAAAAAAACAGAATGCCAGTTAAATAATTAGAACTAAAGCTAAAAAAAAATCGCCGGGTGTAGCAATTTTTGACTCATCCGGACACTTTTTCCCAAATGTAACGTATTTTGCGAGGATTCCCTGTCTTTTTTATGCACCAAAGCATCCATCTGTCTAGAAGTCCGTGCGCCAAAAGAAAGTTAACGCATACGTTTAACGCACATATGGAATCATATTTGACGTATAACAGATCCGAAAGGGCCATTTATGTCCGCATGACGCGTTTATGGAATCTAAGCTTAATGATTAAGGTAAATCACTGATAAAATCCAGTTTTCAGGTCCAGATAAAATTGTCTTGGTTTCTGATTTTAATTAAAATTAATTTATTTATTCAGCGAGACACAAATCATGATAAATACTAATACAATATCAGTGTTAAAATTACTAATTCAGTTAATTCGTTGATAAAAACATTTAAATATTTATACATTGTTAATCAAGCTGCTCATATCCAAAATCAGTCTCTATTAATATTGCTCACCATTTCCAGGTGCATTGGTATCCGGTTTTTCGGTTGCCTTCTTGCGTCTAAAAATATCAAGGTTAAATATACAAAGATATGAAAGCTATGAAAAGAGGTGGTACGCCCAGTAAAAGGGGATTGACACTAGGGATTAGATGATACATGCTCTTTAGATACACTTTAAAACTGTAAATAGTTACTCCCATGACCATTTGGTCCAGTCGTATCTGGTCATCTAAAAACCTTGAACATAGTATATTAGTAATTTGGGAACTCAGCCATAAATCATATTCTTCAAAATAGTGCTAAAGAAGTTTTAAATGCTTGTCTTCTGATTGGCAGCATCGATAGATGAAAGTTGTTATCTGTTCCCGCTTTGAATAAAGGCTAACTATTATGCTGCTGTGGGCGAAAGTGTCTATCATAATTAGATGAAGATAAAACAGGAATTACCTGAGAACACAGTAGATTGCTATACCGACTATAGTAAGTAATATTACAGCTGCTAGAATTACACCCAATGTAATTACGTAGACATTTCCAACATAATTAGATTGATTTGTACATGTACTATCAGCTGGTGCAGGACCTTCTGGGGTTGAATTTACAACAGTTGTTGTAGGGATAGTGGGTGTATATATATAACATAATAGAACAAGAAGACTAAAAATATAATTCTATGATTTAATATTAAAAAGGTCTTACTTGTTGAATTTCTACATCCAGTACAATTCACAGACAGGTTGTTACCTGAAAATACATTTTAAATTCTCACAAACAAATAAATATCTGTGGGTCACTACCATAGGGGCTGGTTGGACCAAGCACACGTGCCCACATTCCGAAAGGGGGTCCCACTCGCAGACAAAAATACAAAATTAAAAAAAAACCGTACCAAGGTAA